CTACCAAATAAATAGGAGATAACTACAAAAACACTAAATTTGGTTGGACACATGACATCATTAGTAAGATTTGTCATGCTCTAGATCATAGCAACATCTAGTCTGATGAGGTTTCATCATAACCACTTATTTAAACAGTATGACATGTAGCATCATCAAATAAATTTACAATTTATGGTGTAAACAATTATTAATTTCCAAGATATCAGTGCCTTATCCAACAAAGGTAGCACTACTGTAGGAATCGGATATTCAGACCGAAACATTGGTCCGGATATATTTAAAATCGGTCTGAATATATATCCGGACCGATCTTGGTCCCTATAGTTGATATGAAAAAACCTGGTACGAAAAAATATAATATACAGACTGACATAAAATCGGTTCGGATATTTCAGTAAGAAATATAAATGGTTATTTAAAAATTGAAATAAGCGGACCGAAATTCGTCCCAAAAAAATAATATAATAAAATAATAAAATATGTACGAACCGAAAACGGTCTGAAAATGTGGCGGAAAGAGGCATAGCAAATATATACAGATCGGGATCGGTTCGAATATGAAGAACCCAGCAGCAACTTTTAAAACTTGCAACTATATCCAGATCGTTTTCGGTCGGAATATGTTGGACTTTCTTGTAACTTTTAAAAATTATTGTCCCAACCAGCTTCATTCTGAAAATATATTCACACCGGTTTCGGTCTGAATATATTGGACTTGATTATAACTTTTAAAAGTTCCATCTCCAACCGGCATTATTCTCAAATTATATTCAGACCGTTTTCGGTCTGAATATTGTGGACTTGCTTGTAACTTTTAAAAGTTTCTATCCCAACCAGCGGCATTCTCAAACTATATACAGACCGGTTTCGGTCTGAATATATTGGACTTGGTTGTAATTTTTAAAAGTTCCATCTCCAACCGGCGCTAATCTCAAACTATATCCAGACCGTTTTCGGTTTGAATATGGTGGACTTGCTTGTAACTTTTAAAAGTTTCTCCCCCAAACAGCGCCATTCTCAAACTATATCCAGACCGTTTTTGGTCTGAATATGGTGAACTTGCTTGTAACTTTTAAAAGTTTCTCCCCCAACCAGCGTCATTCTCAAACTATATCCAGACCATTTTCGGTCCGTAAATATCTTCAAAGAAAAAATAAAATAAAAACAATAAAAAATAAAGAAAACAGATTTATTTTATTTAATAATTACACAATATTACCAAATAATGCAAAAATAAATTTTACAATTCAAAATAAATGCATTTATAAAAAAA